ATTCAGTCTTCGCCCTCAAAACTTATTATAAACTATATTCGTGGTAAAACCTACCTTCTAGAGTATAGTTTGTAATAGTATACACCTGGGGTTAGGGTTAGTGCTGGGAGATAGATTAATGTTGGCCGAAGGCGGATCAAAAGTTGACTTCTGCAGCACATAATAGCGTCATATTTCATACTAGTGGTAAAATCATACTTTATTATTTTACCTTGTACACTCAGAGATATTATCCGTAACTGAGAATATCCATCTTGATCAATTGAACAGCCAATTTATAAATTAATTAATTCATCATGTTTATATAAAAAATTTATCTTATATAAAAGTTTTATTAATAAACATTTTTTTATTTTTAGCTCAAAATGAAGCTAGTTGTCGGATTTCGTACCAGACCCGTTTTTTCAAGCACATAATTTGAATATAAAAGCTTTATTAAAGATAAATAAATAGTCCTTATCTTTTGATAAGTCACGTCATATGCCAATCGAACCTCTAACTAGAATAAAAATGTCACAATTTCTAAAAAAATTAATCGACAACACACTACGTTTTATTGCTATTAGAACCGTTCTCCAACTTATTTTCACTAGCTTCAAGATGATCGTCGATAAGATCAACGTTAGGCGCTTTATTTGTGCCAAGTTGACGAGCTTTTATTGCAATTTTCAATACGACATAAGTCGACCAAAGCTGTGTTCCAAAGAGTATTACTCCACCGATTGGAAATACCACGTTAAATCCTGTTATTATTGCATTACTTTCTAAAAGTTAATTAAAGATAGAAAAGAAACTAATTAATATCGAAATGAACAATAAAAAACTGCATTTTTTATTTTACCTTTATTTGGCAACAAGTGTTTTCCTGTGGTAAATCATATCGATATATAAATGTATATGTGGTTAATGGAAATTTAAGAACTAAAATAATCATGTATTATAATTACCCCAAAACGTGTAACACCAAACAAGTGTAGCAAATTTAACAATGAAAACTTGAACAGCGGCAAAAAATAACGTTACTGACGACCAAGAATGTTTTAGTCGATAAAAAAGTAATCCAAGAAAAGTTGATTGTTCGGTGCTAGCTTGAAACAATAAGATTAGTCCTAGCGGAACTATATCCAAGTTTCCACTATTTTGATATAGAATGTAAATGAATGAGTGAATTCGGTTATCGTTAGGGAAGGTGACTCATAAACTTACGCATTATTTAGAATATATACTCCATAGATTACGAGCCCGATTGTGGTGAGATGATGCATAACGAGTGGTAATCGCATCACGGGCCGGTATAATAATTCAAATACATACCTAACACGTGCAATTTAATATTTAAAATATAATGACAATATTAGAATTGTTTTGAGTCCCGCTAACCTATTTAAAACTTCCAAAGTATTTTGACTAGAAAAAGTTAAAATACCCACAAATCAATTAAAACCGCACCAATCGCTTGCGCTATCTGGAAATCATGAAAATTAAAATCACGCTTCATTAATCTATAGCAATATATTTGCGCAATTAAAGCGATTAGTGTCCATATTATTTCGAGAATATATGTTGTGCAGTTCTTTAGGAATATTAAAGAGATATGGGGCTGAAAATATTTGATTATTCTTTCGCATATTCGTGACATTAAATAAAGTCCGACAAAGTAAATTATATGGTTTGTTGCGAAAATATACCATGTAGTTGAACTAACTGTTTGAATTAAAAGAGAAATTAAAAATCTTCGTTACTTAATATTAGAAATATTAGAAACAAAGGATTTTTAAAATTAAATTTACCAGTAGCATTCCGCAATTTCAACACTTCACTTAATTGTTCAGGGGTAAAATCACTTATCGATGGTGGTAGTAAGAAAGTAAGAGACATTTTTCTAGAATTAATTTTCTTATAATCTTTTCTGAAAATTCTGATTCTATTTATATCTTGAAGAGTAATGCTTGATAGTTTGCCTTATTAAGGGTTTGCATGGGTTATATGCATGTTTTTGCTTTATAAAAAAATAAATTGTTTAGAATAAAACGTAAGCGTGTGTATCCAAGTTCATTTTAAATGAACAAAATTTATATACGTTCATTGATTCATTGTTACAAAAATTGTACAATTTAAATGAACACATCAACGTGTTCAGAATTACCGTATATGACTGAAAATAAGAACCCCGAAAATCGTCATTTTGAAAATAAAAATCAGGAAGTTTCTTATTTTTGAGACTTTTTGATTTTATGTCCCGATTATTATGCAATAATGCATACTAGCATAATGATCGATAAAACCATAAAATATCCATTTCTACCCATAGAAATGTCAAAACATTTACTGGTAATATGAAGATTTTATTTTTTTTTGATGTGAATATGTAGCTTCCGAGATATGTAATTATAGAATATAATAAATGCATAATGCAAAAATTCGAAAGCTTCTTATTTACAGGACTTATCATTTTATCGTAATTTCCTTCAAAAACCAAGAGTTTCTTATTTTCGGAGGTTGCCTATTTTAGTCATATACGGCATATTCAATGAGTTGTTTGTCAACGCTTACGGTCAAATTATAGTCTTAGTTTCGATATAAATCGCCAATTCTATTGGTAGCGCAGTTGAATTACATCCATTGAATTACTGTTAATATAAATAATCACATTGATTATCTCGTTGAAACACAAAGTTCGGATTTTTGACATTAGCTAAAAGCAATTTGTTTTATAAAAATAGAAAAACCTTTATTGATAGACAATAATTGAACAATTTCATCATAGACCATTAAATGCTTAGGTTATTATTCATATAAAATTTATAATAAAATCGAGGCTATCTAGGTCATATAAAGTCACTTAAGTACATTTCAAGGTTCATTGAATGAGAAAATTATTACTCGAATGGGAATATGAACTTTATCAGACATACTATCATAGTGAATTTTTCCTCACCAGCTATACACATTCTGTTTTTACACCCTATGTGAAAAGTGCATCCAGGATTTTACGTGATTTACACGAGACTTTACATTACGCATAGAGATTTTACGGAGCCGTACGCAATGATTACGGGTGCGTCAGGAACTTGATCATGCGTCATTTCATTGATACGCGAAACATTTGGTTTAATCACGCGTTTTCTCTCATATCACGCACTACACTTCCACGTGATTCTATAACAACAAAGGATTTTATGATAATAATATATTAAATGAACTAATTAAATAATCAATATACAATGTAAATTAAAAAATATAACATTAGTAAATTTTTTACTTGTATCTCAATAAATTTTAATTATTTATAATATTGTAATATTTATTAATAAATGGGTGGTTAAAAATTATTAAGGTCAGTATAACAGTTAAAATGCGTAATTATTGTGGAAATGTCAACTTATTCAGCAAGATGCTTTGCTCAATCTTGTAAAAATACTGTATCTTATACAAATCCATCTTAGAGCATTGCCTTATCCAAAATATAGATATTTCCATTCATCCCAACGAATCCAACAACTCTTCTTATATTCTTACATCATATTAATAATGGAACAGAAAGTATCTTGTTTATGCTTTTAAGACTTTCTATGAAGCCAATGAGTAGTTGATCAAAACTAAGATTACTATCTGGATTTTTGATAATTTTATTGATATAGTCCCAATAATCACTTAGAGCTGATAAAAAAATTATCAACATTACATATTTTCAATGAAATGAGAAATTTAAAATTCATAATTCTTGATCCAAGATCTATAGATAACAGACATATTAAGGGATATATTAAGGGACACATTAAGAGAATAGTAATATTACTAATAATCAAAGAAAAATTGTTGCTATTAGAGATTGGTCAGCATTAATAAATATATCAGAACTTCGCTCATTTCTAGGAC